ACACCATACAAGGTGCATTCTCTTTTGCATGCTGCTCAGAGAGCTGTTGGAGACACCATGACAGGGGGCTATAAATAATAACCTTCCTCCAACTGTATGATTCAGAAGCTGTGATGTCTGACTGCAGTGTGATACAGCACTTCACCCCAAATCAAAGTCCATGTGTGTGACATCTATCTGCGTGTGTTTGTGTGCGTGTGTGTGGGCGTGTGTGTGTGTGTGTGTGTGTCTGTGTGTTTGTGTGTGTGTGGGTGTGTGTGCCGGGGTGTGTGTGTGTGTGTGTGGGCGTGTGTGCGTCTGTGCGTGCGTGCGTGCGTGTGTGTGTGTGTGTGTGGTGTGTGTGTGTGTGTGTGTGTGTGTGTGTGTGTGTGTGTGTGTGTGTGTGTGTGTGTGTGTGCATATTAAAGTCCTTTCATTGTCAGAAGACTTTGACAATGAAATGTTGACATATATATGTCATATATTGTGGAATCAAAATGTACAAACATTTTTTGCAATAAAAAGGCAAATAAAATGTGTTATTTATGGTGTAATTTGTACTTGTACATTATATCTTCAATAATTCCAACACTTTTGGCGTTTTGCGGACCTGACGGAGACCACTCAGGCTGCAGACACTTCACACCTCCCAAACTAAAAACACAGCATGTGTCTCTGTCATGAGTGATGCTGCAAACAAGATATGACTTCTTTGTGTATTCCTGGCAAATGAGGCGGTCATTAAAAATAAATTCAATCACAGCAAGGTCACTATAGAAACTAATCGAGATTTTCTTATCCCCCTTGCCTGACTTGGGTCTGGAAAAGGTATTGAAACACTGCAAAAATAAAGAAAGATACAAAACTTCCATGTTGCTTTATTTGCAAGACGCCATCATTTAAACGGTTTTTATTTTTCCCTTGTAAAGCAACAGATTAGAAACTGTTCTTAGATTTCACTTGACCTGCTCTGCTTCTTTTTAGATTTGAGGATTTGGAGATATTTCTGAGGGGAACACTTCAGCAATCCCCCATGCTTTACATGTTGTCATTTAAGAGCGGCGGCCCAGGCAGACAAAGCTGCTGATGCTCCTCTAACCACGGCAAATGAAGTGCTTTCAGCTTGCTCAGTGGCAGAGATGAATGGCTTTTAAATTAATCAGGGTTCCCATCTGATTCAAATACAACTATACCTGGGACACAAAGCTTCCATCACTTCCACAGGCCAGCAGATAACGGCCCGTCTCATCCATTCTCACCATAGTGTGATTTAATGAGGAGCTAATCTCTCAGTGTTGCTAAAGGAGCAGTATTATGTGTTTTCCAGGAACATAGAGACATTTTATAGCATAATCAAGTAACCGTGTTAGCTTTAGTTGTTATAAAAATGCTGCATATAATAAATTTGACTTAAAAGTAAATTTGCTCTGTCAATGAACTTCTTGAAATTGGGCCTCTGTCTCTTTAAGAAACTCCAGCTCTTTCTGAAACTCCGCCTTCAGGAAGTCATCAGTACTTCTCTGCTGATTAAGCCTTTGACAACATTTTTACCAGCGTTTGAATGAGAAGTGGAGCCTGTGAGCTCCATCAAGGGTTTGCTGATTATTGCTGGCTAGTCTGAAGGAACTCAGGGGAAAAGGCTTGGTGCTCTGAGGGACTTTGAGGGACTTTGACTCTGAGCTTTCATGGGAGGGTAAAGGATTCTTTAAGAATGCCTAAAAGAACAAAAGCAACATGATCTAAAACTTAAAAAAGGTCGATTTTACAGAACACTGCCCCTCTAAAAAAACCTGGAAAAGCATATTTTGAGACTGATGGACCAGAAATGAATTTTATCTACAACATTAGCAATAATGCCTCCCGTATTCCCCCTTTTCCTGCCCCGGCCCCACATCCTCTCATTTCAATCCCCCTTCTTCACATAATTACAGAGACTGCGCATGTTCGGCTGGATCAGGGGCCTCTCAGAGAAGACTGGCCGCCGCTCAGACCCGGGGGTCGCTTAGCATTTGAAGGATTCCTGTGTCAGCAGCGAACAGTGTGAGGAGCACATGTTGACAAGACTCTCCCCATGAATAAAGCAGCATTCATAGTCTGACACACGACATGTTACAGCGGGGGGGGGTGATAACGAAGCGCATGTTTCTGGGTGTTTTCCTCTCTTTCAGAGTCCGCCGGTTTGTCTGCTTCAGCTTCCCGGCTCAGTCCTCCGAGCAAGATCTGGATCTGCCTCTCGCTTCCTCACAATAATCTTTTCCACAGCGCTGTCACATGTTAACTGGTTTATAGAGACAAGAGGAGGGGAGACACTGGCAGCCAGCAGCTCCCTCACAGCCCCCCCCGCCCCTCACCCTGAATATTTAACACAGACAGAGGCTGAGACGAGCCGCCTCGGACGCCGTATATAAGCATCTCTCGCCCGCCCACCAACACAGCAGGGGTCCAAACACACTCGGGCTGCTCATCACGTCTGCTCACAAAGACACACTCACCAAGAGAGAAAGAAAGAAAGAAAGAAAGAAACAGAGAGAGAGAAAGAAAGAAGGGAGGATAAAAGGAAGGGAAGGAAGAAAAGACAAAAGAAAGATTTCCACTGCAGGATTTTACTGTATATATATAAAATCCTGATATCCTAATCCTAATATATATGTATATATATATATATATATATATATATATATATATATATATATATATATATATATATATATATATATATATATATATATATATATATATGTATATATATATCTTTTTTCTACAAATTATACCCAAAAAACAAAGGTGTGATTTTGCTTGTTGACAAAAAATTCCCTGCAATCGACATGAAAAGCAAGCTATGGAGAGTTGAGTTCTGGGAAGTGGCAGATGTCTTTGCTGTGTTCTTCTTCGTCACAGGAGGCTCAGGAATCCACTGTCAGTCAACACATTGGTGCAGTCTGCCCTGATTCACTTTTATGTGAGTTAATGTTTTCATGAAATATTCTTGAAATGTTTGATTGGAGCCACACACAATACAGATAAACCTGAGTGAATAAAAAAGGGGGGAAAACAGCCAGTAAAATGCAAACGAATGCACTTAGAATCACAATCTGTTCCCCATCAGTTAATGTGACGTCCTCGAATACGTCCAAATGAAGGCTTGATATTTGAGAGCACACGTTTTCTTCTCGATTAAAACAATTTATGAAGAGAAAGCAGAGCTAAAGTGAAAGAAAAACAAAGAGAAACATCTTGTTGTTCTGTTTGACCTAAGTAGAAAAAAAGCCTGATTAGCGGCTTTGAAGAAGCAGAGCGGCGTGATGCTGAGTCAGAAGGAGCAACGACTGCTCTTATGGGTGGGAAGAACGAGAAAAGATCAGAGTGGGCCGCATGTTGCGAACTTCAAGCTGTCTGGTTTGACTGGCTGACACGGACAGACAAGAACAAGCCTGCAGACTGAATACCGACAGAAGCAGAAAAGGTAGAGCAGGACGTGAAAAGAGAAGGTGATTGTACGTTTATGTATCAGGAAAATAAATGCATGCAGCTTGAGCTTCCCGTTTGACCATAAAATTGTGCAATTTCACATTTCAGAAATAAATTCACTAAATAGAAACACGACAAGTGCAGGAACTCAATTGCCGTATCAAAATTGGTTTATCTTGCAAAACCGGAAACATTTTTTGTCACACAACAGGATTTTATTTCTGGTGCAAACCACAAAGAAGGAGACAACAGGAAGTAGTTGCAGGATGATGATGGTGCAATGTTTAATAACTTCACACGTGAACAAACTTATTCTTGTGTGATATTAATTGTGTTTGTTAATGGAAATACCTCAACTGTCAAATGGTGGGGCTTCTTTTCAGCATTTGAGGATAATTGACAAAGTTTTGCACACATTTGTAATCAAAATAATCTACTGATGCTCTGCTCCATCAGGTCTTAGTAATTTTCTTTTTTTAAAGCATTACCATGGTTACCCAAAAAATAAAAAATTAAAAGAGTGAGCATAATTTTATCTAGTCATATTTCTTCTAAGAAGACAACAATTATTGAAAAAAGTTGCAAAAATATTACAACTACATCGATAATAGAGTCAAAATAAATGTATTCTAATTTGAGTTTTTTAGGAATGGACAAAACCAAATATTTGGAGTGAACACTAAATTTAGTTCATATTTTCAGGTCAAAGTTCGCAGTTTTGAGAATCATACAATGTTAACAGGTTTGTTTGCTGGTGTAGGCAGTCTGCAGCCAAGTTTTTCATTCAGCAAACTGTACAGCAGAGGACAGCAACAGGTGGAGGAGGAGCAGCACTGTGTAGCCTACTTGACTTCCAAGTTTTATGACATCATTTTGAAGTGTTGTTGTGACAACAATAAAAGTGATGACATTAACTATTTATCACACATTTTTAGGTAACTGTGTGTCAAAGTAGTTAAAGTCCCACAAACACAAATTCTGCACTTGACAAAACATTTTTCACAAGCTTCTTCAGAACAGCAGTCACATAAAGTGTTTGTATCACTTGTCTGCACACAGTAAATGTATTTTCCAATATATTATTCATCGAACGATGAAAAAAATATAATAGAATCATCAATCCTTACAACAAGGACAGATTTTGGGGTTTTTAAACATCAGCAACAACAATAAATTAATATCACGATAAATTTATCACGATAAGTGATTGTTTATGCGATAAATGCGCATCGACTTGTGCAGAACTTTATGGTAAGAGCATTACGACGCAAAATACATCTTTTCCATATTTGCCTTGACACTGAAACTGACCCATATGTGGTGACCTGCTGCATTCTGGGATGCACCTGGACCACCTGTGTGCATCTGAACCTCTGAGACACTGCAGAGAAAATCTGGCGTGGAAACTTTTAAAGTTGAATCCTTAAAATAATCATTCCAACCGTGCATGTATGGAAATTAGGAGGACAAAAGTGTTTTTTTCTCCCCCAAATAAATGGCTGTTTGCGGAGGAAGAAAGAAAGGGGAAAAAAAGCCAGAGCTGCTTTACTCACGGGTGCCATCGAAGCGGGTGGCTATCGTGTCCAGGAAGGTGTTCTGCGGGGCCAGCAGCCCTCTCATCACCGGCATCCTGCTCCGGGTCGACTGGCTCCTCCTGCCTCTGCGCCCCGGGGCGCCGCTGGACTCCTCCTCAGACCCAAAACTCGGTAAGAAGCGGGAGGTGCCCGGTGCGCATCCCAGCCCCTGGAGAAGCGCACCGATCCGAGATACGCGCTGCGGCTCCACCTTGGCACCGCGGGGGCTGTGACCATAATCAAGTCAGCCGGGAGCGAGCAGTAACCCAGGGATGCACCTGTGCAACCCTCCAAAGCCGGGGGAGGAGGAAGAGTGAGGGGATCAAACGGAAGCAGCCAGGATGCGGTGTGCGCGCGCGCCAGAGATGAGGATGGATGGTGCGAAGTGGAAGTTTTGGTGCTGATGGTGCGCGGAGTGCATCTTATAGCAGCAGGCTCCTCCTCACGCTCTTTCTCGCTCTCTCTCTGTCTCTCTTTCTCTATGTCTCTATTTTTCTCTCTCTCGTTGCGTGGTTATCTTAGCACAAGTGAAAGTCACGTGACGCCTTCCAGGTCTCGCCAAGCACTGGTCCTCTTTCAAAGTGGAGGTGTGGGAGACAACAAAGGGATCCTCGCTTTGGGAAGCCGACGCAGCCCTCCTCCTGATCGGATCAACACCTGACGCTGGAAAATCTCGTTAGAACCCCAAAATCTCCCAGAGGGGCCGAGGAGTGGAGACTCACACAAAGCCGAGGAGGACGAAACGTGTGTTTTCACAACAACTCCACCTGTGTGCTGTGTCTTATTTCATTTCTTAGAGCGGTACTCCATGCAATAACTTGTTTAATTTAACACTGGCTGTGTAGGTTCAAGTTAAACAAACAAACAAAAAAAAAACATGGATGGAGTCTGGTGATCCTTTGTTTCTCTCCTCAGCACCACATTAGGAATTCTGGCGCTTGGACGCGTTCAGGAAGAGAATCAAATGTGATGGAACAGTCGCATTGCGCCACCTTGTGGTTTCTTTGATCTCAGACAGTTTTGTGCCCTTTGTTTGCATTATTACCAACACGACTTTTTTTCACTTTTAAATCATTAATTCGAGTTCTTCTGCTTTCCGATGGGAAGACTTTTACAACACTTAACAGCTGAACAGCTGAAGTGTTTTTCACATGAACTGACTGTGTGTGAGATTCACTGAGTTAATTTGACTCAAAGTTGTGAGAGGTTCTAAGCACCACAGCAGTCCTACCCTTGAGTAAACTTCATTTGTTTTTTCTTTACTGGACTAAAGTTTAATGTTGTGTTTATGAAGAACCACAAAAAAAAAAAAAAAAAAAGATTTCATTCCCTGATCTACTCACCAACAGTTAAAGATTGCTTCAAATCTTTACCCATTACATACCCAAGCAGCAAATAATAATAATAACAATTAAAGGGACATATTCCAGCTACACCTAATGGTTACAAGTGTGTATCAATAACCCTAACATTAACCAAAGGCCAATTTACATTTTACCTCTAAACTTGACCTCTGACCCTGAACAAGGGTGTCCATCATATTAGGACTGGGCTTTGATCCCCATGAGGATCATTAGTAGTAAATATGCCTATGTAGGACAGCTAAACAAATACACACACACATATTCATATGTCTGATTTTCATTGGTGCATTTTCAGTCAGTCTTTATTTATTACTTTTGTTAGTCTCAAGTTATTTCAGACACTATTGTGGGTTTTTAATTCATTAACAGAATTATGTCCATGTGTTGAAAGTGCAGCATTTAGGGCAAAAGTCACCGTTTCACTCCCAGCCGATAACTCCACCCTCAGAAAACTGTCACACTGACACATTGCTCAATACCTTGCATAAGATTTGTAAGCATGTGTTTTCTCTCTGGGGTCAGTGAATCTGGTTTTGTTTGGTATGGTCATGGTGTAAAGGATCTTCCCAAAACAATTAAGTGAATTTTTGTTTTGTCTTTTGTAGCTTACTTTAGCACTGATGCTCATCAGAATGCTGAGTTTCAACAGACGGGCACACTTTGGCAGGCCCCGTTTAAATTTCTTCAGACATTTTCAAGTCATCATCATCATCATCATCATCATCATCATCATCATCATCACCATCATCATCATCATCATCATCATCATCATCATCATCATCATTATTATATTATTATTTACAGTTGTACTTCCACAGTAGAGTGATTGTCACTGGGCGTGGACGTAGATAAGCACAAATTTGTGAATTATTGCAAGGACGAATCAGAGTCCGAGTTGCCCCTCCTTTTGTGTGAGCTTATCTGATAGGCGCGATGGTCGTAAGCTCTTCACTGATTGGCTTTCCGTCAACAAGAGGAGGAACGTTGGAAGTCACCGGCTCTGCTTGAGCAGCTTGATCTGCTGTCACCTCGGTCCGAACATCGCCGTGTCCGGTTACCCCCGTCGTCTCTGACTGTTGTGAATTTTTATTCTTAAACTTGAAGGTAAGCGCTTCATTTTAAACACTGTCTGCACAGTTAGATAATGTCGAACTACGGGGAAGCAAGATGCTCTCATTCTGTGTCTTTATCTCGGTACATCTTCCTGTTTTGTTGCTAAAGCTCAACATTTAGTTTTCTAACTCTCAGGACGAAACATGACGTCATACCGTCGTGCTTTAGAACGCTTGCGTTGGAGAAAGTAGAAAACGACTCTGTTTTCCTTGTTCTTGGTCGGGCGCAGCTAGCATAAAGAGCCCATTCAGGCCCTGAGCTGCGTTAGAAAACTCCTTCCTGGTTTCAAGTTTCACGGAGTTTCTTATCAGAATTGTTTTTGCTCAACTGGTTCTGTTAGCGGTTCCTGCTTTCCAGGTATGAACCAACCGCTTCTTGGTCTGAGCGGTCTGTCTAGTCCTCTGTTATACAGAAGCTGTCCCGGAAGCTTTGGGGACACCGAGTAATGACACCAAATTAGCAGATGTCAACAACAGCAACTTCTTCTAACGCCTGAACTCTGTCGGTTTATTGCAATGTTACAATAATACGTACATTAATGTTACATTTTTACGTATGCAGAAGTCGTTATTGTTTTCTTGTTTTGTTTTTGCTTTGGACCTCCACACTGTTCAGTCAATGCATGTGTAAAGCATATGTTTATATGGCTTGTTCAAAAGACCATGTAAGAGGATTATTATGGAGTAAATCTGGCAGTGCAAATTGAATGCACAGTTATTATTCAGTTATGCTCCCACTTAACGCGAAGATTATTTCACAGAGAGCAAACATCTGATGTCTATGTTTTAATTCAGAGGATTAAAACACGAGAGAAGCACCGATCTGCTTTCACGATCACCGATTTTTTGTAAACATCTGACCTGCAAATTTTTTATTTATTTATTTATTTTTTTGGCCACTGCCACATCAAGAACACTGATCTTCTTCAGCAGTAAAATTAGAAAACAAAAATTATTTCTCAAAATCTTATTTTGAGAGGAATTTTTTTGCACAGCCAATATATATATAATACTACAAAATAATTACTGTTTTCTGCAAAAATGATGTCATCTGCAACCATTCATTCATGTTTTATAACTACAACAAAAATTTTTAGAAGAATTTTTGAATTTCTTAAAAAAAATTCTGACAAATCTGTAACAGAGCAGCTAAGTGTTCTGTTCCCCTAATCTATTGATGACAAGCTCCCTTTTTGTTTGGGTTGCCAGTACATACAATTTGTTGCGCTTCTTTTCTTCACAGCGTGTGTGTTTGTGCCAAGATGTCTCAGAAGATCAAGGCTGGCTCAGTGGTGGAGATGCAGGGCGATGAGATGACTCGGGTCATCTGGGAGCTGATTAAGGACAAGCTGATTTTCCCTTACTTGGAGCTGGACCTGCACAGGTGAGTTTGAGGTCATTGATTGTTTTTCCCTCAAATGTGATGAAGGATTTCAAAATCCAAATGTGACACCAAAAAACAGGAGGCATATTGTCACTTATGGATGAATGTTGAGTTGTTGTAGGACGCTCACTGTGACTGTAAGGCTGGGTAGGTTATATTTAAATTATGTAGATTTTTTAAGCAAGATATTCCCAGTAAATAAACATTATCTTTTCTGTCCCTGACTCAGCACTGAGCTAACTGCTAACAACATTAGCACTCTGAGGACAACCACGCTAGAGCATAAAAATAATATATCTTACCTTACATTTGAATGCTTGACTTTCTAAGTAACTGTCCAATAAAATATCTGAAAATACTATTCAAACAATGGATCTTTACCTGTTAGAAAGTGGCCCTGCAAGCTCTGGCGTTGTTAGTTTCTGGACTTCCTGTTTTTAGCTGTAGATTGTTGATCCACTTTTCTCCTCTTTTTTGATAAGTTTTTTAAAATTAACTCCTTTGTGACCAACTATCTTCAAAACATGAAAATAACGTTTATCTTTCTCTCTATTAGAGCGGTTGGAACAACCATACAGGTCACAGACATTAGACATTTTAATGTTGGATCAACAGAAATAAATGGGCTGCATTTACTTCCGGCCCTCCATCTGCAGTGGGTGACATCGGTGCTATGTCATCTGAAACGCAGCAATACTTTTTCCCCTTTCAATTAGCATTCAAAATGTGAAAAAAAAAAACTTCACAAAAGTTTCTGTTTGGTGCTCCTGTAGCTGCTGACATAAAGTGACTGTTCCTGCAGACCTTGCATGTCTGGTTTAGATTGTTTTCATTAAACTTTTCTTGGGGATGTCTCACAATATGAATCCCAGTGCAACACTATGGCTGCATTGATAACTTAGAACGATCTAACTCTTACAGAAGTTTCCTCTAAAAGTGGGTTTGTCTTGGGGAGGAAGTGCACAATTTGGCTGCAGTTGCTCAATGTTAGTGTGTTATTCATTCCAGAAAAAAGAACAAATCACAGCATGGGAAGTACAAAATGAAAGACATGAAAGGAAATGTTCACAGCTGTTAAATAAAGCTGAAATAATGTTTAAACTTAAAAGCCTTTTAATTTAACTCCTCATGTTTTGATGAGAGGGTTTGATCAGCCTTTCTGTCATGTTTAAAGGATATAAAGCTCATAATACTCACATATTTTTTCACTTTGAATGTTTGCCTTTTTTGGTGAACTTTCGAATAGATTTTTAAAATCTATGTGATATAAAATCACGTAATCTTATGTGATCATAAAAAAGTTAATGATCAGTTGTGATCAAGTTCTGAAAGTCCAGTTATGATAAGCACTGCGTATTACTGACCTTGTTACACCAGTAGAATCTGAGAAGGTGGAACTATCAGAGATTGAGCAACCTAAAAAGTAAACTTAAAGTTTCTTACATTCACAAAGGGATAATTTTGTAGAGTTTGTCTCAGCAGTCAATATTTTACCCACATCAAGAGTCCTCAGAACCCTAAGTCATTAACATTGATGTTCAGGTGTTTACAGAATTTCTTGCACATTATTATAACCTAAATTTTGTTCCATCTCAGTGTTTTACTCAAACTACTTTCCAATCCCAAAATTTCTAAAATATCCATGCAAACACTAGCTTAAAATGATTAAACCCCAGTGAAAGGTGAAACAGGAAGTGTGTAGAGTAAATGTGTGATATTAAAACGACTTAATGTAATAACTGCCGATGCACTGATTAGACTTTTCCTGGCTGATTCTCATGTTTGCTTTGCTTTGAATCATGAAAGAAAACAAACGTGGTGCAGGTTTTAAATCCAACTGAAAACAAAGCAATGATTAGATCATTCCCATTCATGGATGCAAAAGTGTCTGACTTTCTCCTGGTTTATATATCAACATGCATAAAATATATGGAGCTTCGTATGTTTCAAACCTCCAAAAAAGGCGCATTTAAATGGAATTATTTTGCAAATTGTTGATGAATTTGTAAATCATTGGACAGAAGTGAAAAGGAAAAATGGAGTGGTGTGTTACTACTGCAAGTCAGTCATTTGTAGATGTTTGTGAAATGGACAAAAAGATTTATTGATTCAGTAAAAATAACAAATAGCTAACAAATAAGTAGCTTTAAAAAAACTGAGAAAATCAATAAAATTAATAGTTTATTCTGGTGACTCCACCCTCTGTTCTTTATTCATCAGTTTTTGCGTCCTGGTTTAAGCTGTCTGCAGAACGGGAAGGGAAAACTAGGTAAAAGGTCACCTCTTCAAACACAGGCTTCGACAATGAGCCAGTATTTCTCAACCCCGGTCCTCGACTCCCACTGCTCCTTGTGTTTCAATGTTTCACTGCTTTCACACACCTGATCCAGCTTATTGCAGTTCAGTGAAAGCCTGTTAATCAGCCATCAGTTGCTGTGAGGTGCATTTTGAAGAAAGAAATAAAAAGGATTAATCCACATCAACATATCATCAAGTACCGAAAATATGGCCAAGTATAACTAATGTTTGGAAAAATGTAATGTTCCGATTGTTGATTTTTTTGTGTGTGTGTTTTCATGATGTAAAGCACTTTGAACTGCCTTGTTGATGAACTGCCATACAGATAAACTGGACTTGAAGCAGAAAAACGCCAAAGATAAACAGAGCAGTCTGCCTTGAATAGCAGCATAAGAAAACACTGATAGAAGGATGAACAACATTCTGATCTGGTTGTGATTGTTCCACTGGTTTGTTGGAAGTCATGTGTAATCAGTCAGTCGTTGCACACAGGACTGCTTGTGTCTCGGTGTTTCAAAAATGTCCTCATTAAAGACACTAACAGTGGAGTCTAAGAGAGGAACAGGGTGTTAATAGACCCTGATGTGAACTCTGTGACGGGTCTTTGAAGAGTTGTAATTAGCTGCAGTGTGGAACGGGCAGTGCGCCGGCAGCTGTTTGAATTATTTTGTAGTTGAAAGCAAGCTCACGTTCAGTTTCCCCTCACATTAATGTTGCTTCCGTCTTCTGACAGTAAGTTCATTTCTAAACCCACTCACAGGAGTTTAATATTCAGAATTTTAGCTAAGTAAAGCAGTGGCTTCAGCTCCCATCAGTGCCTGGCTAGTTGGCGCTCCAGGCATGTTTCTAAATTGTGTCTAATGAAGCATGAATAATAATGGCAACAGAGCATCTTCTTTATCGGTGACCCATTTCTGCCTGGGGTACAGAGATTATAAATATCTTTAGTGTCTTCCAGGTTTAAATCATTTGATTTGGCCGCATTTAGCTAGAAGATGTGCAGATCACAGCCTTTTCAATAAAAACAGAAAACTGTCGTTCTTTTTCTCACAGTCAGGACTGGATAAAGGTTACAAAGCAAAATGTAATGCCTCTCCTGTAACCAAGTAGGTCACATGACTCTATATGTCCCATAACTTGAATAAAGAACAGACATTTGTTGGAAAATAACAATCAACTTGTGACGACGTGTCTGTATTTTTTATAGAATGATCTAGATCAGGACTGGTCAAACTCGACTATCTTCGTGCAAGGATGCCATTATTTTGCCTCTCAAGTCAAATCATGACATGGGTAGCTTTATATTGTCTGTTTCACTTTTGCTGCTAAAATAGCTGAGACTCATGAAATCATGGACTCTAAAAGACCTCTGAAAACTCAGTGAGCTCTCTTAAAATCTTTTTTCTGGCCTTTACATTGATGTACATTAATGCTTCTACCACAGAAGTGCACATGTGTTTTACCTCCTCCAATTTTTATGTCCACTTTCTGCATGCCATTAGCTATAATTAAGCCTTGATTCCAGTCTCCTGGTTGTCGTCCTGCTCAGCTTTGACCTCGGCATGGAGAACCGAGACGTGACCGACGACCAGGTCACGGTCGAGGCAGCGGAGGCAGTCAGGCGCTACAATGTGGGCATCAAGTGTGCCACCATCACGCCGGACGAGAAGCGCGTGGAGGAGTTCAAGCTGAAGAAGATGTGGCGCTCGCCCAACGGGACCATCCGGAACATCCTGGGAGGCACCGTGTTCAGGGAGGCCATCATCTGCAAAAACATCCCCCGCCTGGTGTCCGGCTGGGTCAAGCCCATCATCATCGGCAGGCATGCACACGGAGACCAGGTGAGCTGGTCCTCAGCACTGCTAATAGTGACTCCTCCAAGCTTCCAGAAAACAGCTGAAACATCATGATATAAGAGTTTTACATCAGTCAATATAGATAATTATTGATTGTTTTTTTGTTTTAAATATATGAAATACTTTGAAACTAGTGACATGACATTCCCATTTTGTCTACAGTTTTCTTTCCAGCTGTTGCACTCTTTTTCTCTCTTCACTCCACTCCATTGTTTTGTATTTGTCAGTAAACACAGTGGCCAAACCTGAAACTGCTGCTGCGCATGTTTCTCAAAAAGTTGTCGCTAGGTTACCAATGACTTGGAGTGAACAGAAGTTACATGTTAGGTACCCCACTGTTCAGTCCTGTGACCCCTCGTGTTTAATGTCTACATGCCCCAGCTGGCTCAGGTTATTGCAGGTAATATAATCGAGTGAACCCTGAGAGGTTGTGTGGCTAAAGCCTTTCCTCTGCTTCCATCCCCCACAATGCTGTGCGGTTCTGGATTGGAGTTAAGCGAAACTATTGAAAATTCTATCTTTTAATATTGATCACATGTGTATTGTGACATATATTGTTATTGCATTTTTGCCCTGCAGGAATCATAGTACAAGGTTTTACCAACTTTCTAACAAAGCTACTCCTGAAGCACACTAGAACAGGCCTCTGCACTTTGTGTACTAATGAGCGATCTCAGATCCACTGTTGGATAAGACATGACGGGGTTGCCAGGAGACTCCAGATCAATAATTAAATTTCATCCCCCGCTCTTTGGACCGGCCTCTGTTGTTAGGATCACACATCTGGGTAGCAGGTTGGTTTATGGCTCTGTGACAAAGTCAACAGTTGTGTGTTCAGAGGAAAGGTGTAGGTGAAAGGTAAAAAACCCTGCTGGTTACATAATGGATGTGCCTTAGATACTCCGACTGACGCTTCCTGCTGACGTCTTTATGGCTGTTTCATGAACTTTGCACGATGCTTATCATTTTTGTACTTTTTGGTGGGTTCTAATACACTGCTGATTCTCTCTTCCTTGCTGTGCTCTCCACAGTACAAAGCCACTGACTTTGTAGTGCCAGGTCCTGGGAAAGTAGAGATGATCTACACACCCACAAATGGAGAGCCGGTCAAATATGTCGTCCATCAGTTTGAAGGTAAAGAGGAAATCAACTCGCAGTGCAGTCAAACTCGCAACACAACAGGACATACGAAAGAGCTGATCATTTTACGGAAACCTCTCAGATTTAGCATCGTTGTTTTTCACCATCTAATTGCTTGTGCAGAGTAGAGGTTCTTCTCTCAAGTAAAATGTGGTTCAATATCCCTGGAATTTTGCACGAGTTTCCTGCTGTCCATTTAGCCATTGTCCATTCTCCAGGAACTACAAACAGGATCTAGATTTGTCGGTAACACTTAATTAGAAGCGGTATACATAACTGATATGACACTGTCAAAAACATTAAATAACACCTGAACAAGAAGGAGTCCTCATGAATGTTTTTGACTGCCTTAAAAGTGTCTTTCAGTAAACAATGACACTTTTAAGGCAGTTTGTATTCTTTGTATTCTTCATGAGGACATCCATTGTAATCGGCTCATGTTGTTGTGTCTGTCCAGGTACCGGTGGTGTGGCTTTGGGGATGTACAACACCGATTCATCCATCCGAGACTTTGCTCACAGCTCCTTCCAGATGGCTTTGTCAAAGGCCTGGCCGCTGTACCTCAGCACAAAGAACACCATTCTGAAGAAATACGACGGTCGCTTCAAGGATATCTTCCAGGAGATCTATGAGAAGTGAGACCTTCACAAAATTGCTAGAATAACACGCAAACCGACGCAGAACTGATAGGGAAATGCTTGTGTCTTTCAGAGAATATCGACCTCAGTTTGAGGCTAAAGGAATCTGGTACGAGCACCGACTCATCGACGACATGGTGGCCCAGGCCTTAAAGTCAGAGGGAGGCTTCATTTGGGCTTGCAAGAACTATGATGGCGACGTGCAGTCGGATTCTGTAGCACAAGGTTGGTGAAACGATCCATTTGGTGAACAGCGAAGGAACCTCTGCTCCCGATTACGCCAACCAAAGGTCACGACTGATGGTTGTTTTTAGGGTACGGTTCTCTGGGCATGATGACGAGTGTTCTGATCTGTCCTGATGGACGCACCGTGGAGGCTGAGGCCGCACACGGCACGGTGACGCGCCACTACAGGCAGCATCAGCAGGGCAAAGAAACCTCCACCAACCCTATAGGTCAGAGGAATATTCTTAATATACAAACATGCGCCTCGGTGTTTTTGACCGAAGCCTGTCCTGACGCTGTGGATGTTTGTTTCAGCTTCCATCTTTGCCTGGACGCGAGGTCTACTCCACCGGGCGAAGCTGGACAACAACGCAGAGCTCCGGGTGTTTGCTGAGGCTCTGGAGGCCGTCTGTATCGAAACCATCGAGGCTGGATTTATGACCAAGGACTTGGCCATCTGCATCAAAGGAATGCCCAAGTAAGTCACGTCCATCAGACATTACGAGCACATTTATTAGAGACACAAACTCATAGCTCTATCGTAAATCCCTTTCTGGTATTATGGTGCAGGAAGGCCTGCCACAATAACAAATGTTGCTGGACGATAAATTATCCCAGAAGTTATTGCAATAAATGATAATACTGTTGTTTTGAGATGATTGTCAATATAGTGGTATAATTTAATGGTAATGGCATAATAATGCATAAAGGTCAATAAACTTTAATTTTTTACAAATTTAACATTGGAACAAGACAATTTAAATATCCCTAATAGAGAAACAAAACAACCAAGACAACAAACAAAATGAAGATTCTGTAAACAAAATTGTCCTTCAAACAGTTGAGACAAAACCACTGAAACGGAGACTTTCGTCATCCAGTTTTTGGTAGAAAGAGAGAAAATAGAAAAACAATAAACCATCCACATCGAAATGATCAAGCTTGTTTGCATTTATCATTTGATTAATTTTAGTGCTTTACTTGGACATAGCTTCAGGTCAAATGTTGGAGTGCCTTTCAGGGTTTTCCCCAGAAAACTTGCTAAGCCCAGTGGTTCGGGTGCTGGGGCAGTCATTCAGTCAGCAGCTTGCCGTGTTTTTGAGTTTAAAAATGTATAAAGTTGATAGGAAATTTGAAAATATCACTTGATAATTATGTGCTATGGGAAGAGAAATGCTGGAATACCGACTATAAAGTGTTAAAAAATAAATAAGCAGTGCTTAGCCTGGTGGGGCCCCAAGTAACTTATAATGCACTGGGGAAAACCCTGCCATTGTTCTTGTGGTTGTTCTCTAGAGACCCAGCAATACTAACAGCAAACCAATGAATTATAACCAGTGTCATGATTTTACTGAAACACAAGATATTCCATACTTTATCCATAGACAGGAAAGCACACATTGTTTTCCTGCTGTTTGTACTGGGATTCATGTAATAGAACAAGATTATTGTGAGATATCATCCAGGTTCCTTTTTTAACTGTTTAAATTTCTGATCTAGACCGGGAAAACACATTTTTTATTGATTGTCAATGTTTTACAGTCTGCCTGAACATTGTGGCCCACAGGATGAAGTCCACTGACATTTCATACTGAGTTACAACAGTTGTAGTTTCACCACAATAAACAAAGATCAGTTGTCTTCTCCTTTGTCAGGATATTTCAATTAAAAGATTAAATGTTTATTGTCAGATTAAATATTGGTTTCTCCAACAGAGGGGACTTCATGCTTCACGCAAAAAAAAAAAAAAATCAGCAAATACAGAGGTATTATGGGATAGATTACAGGTCACTGAGTTCATTTTGGACGCCTGAAAATGTAATGTAGGCCATTTCATGAGACATAATTTTTCTTCAGAAGATCTTTTAAAGTAATAATTCACATCTTTTAAAGATTATTGCTATTATGTATTTGCTTGTTAAATTATTTATTATTATTTATAGCTACAATCTTATGAGGATTTTGTATAATGATCAGTAATTAGTAAGTTATATTAGGGTCAGAGGTGATGTCACAGTCTAAGAGAGCAGTGGGTGTTACGCCACTCTGCAATTAAATAGGATCTAGGTAAAATTTGAGAAGAAAGACAACAGAATTACAGAGTTTATATTTTAGACCATCTCTACACTTCAGGTGTAGAAAATTAAGTCTTCTTTCTTGAAGCTTCAAACAACTTTTTGCTCTTGTTGAATTTCTTTTGAAAAACATCTCAACAGCTGCCTTTCCACTACAAATGTGTGCAAAACTTTGTTGGAATTCAGCTAATGTTGAAAAGCATAATATCAGAAATATGGTTTTTACATTATATAAGAAACACAATTAAAATAACACATTAACAAGTTTTTCACATAATAAGTCAACACTCAGCATCATCCTACCACTTCCTGTTGTCTTCTTTGTCTTTTCTGCCAGTAGTCACACTAGGTTGTTGATCATGTGACTTCTGTGTTCAGTTGTGGAAAACACAAATTTTGATATGGCACCACTCATCCTGGTGCCAAAATTTTTGATCAAAAATGTGTTTTTTCGAAAATGACATTTTTCCCTTAAGCAAATATATTTTTGTAATTCCAACTTGCACAATTTTATGGTCACATCAAACACAGTCACTGAAGTGGAAAAAATACAATAAGGTCACTTCTGCTAGTGGTATTGCTATATGTTTTTTATTATTTATTATATGGTCCCACTAAGATAAAGTTATTTGGGTTACATGTACAAGGTTGGACGTTGTTTTCCACAGCTGCATGGGAACCAGACTGTTTCCCATGCTTTGGATCCCTTATCCTGGTATAAAACTCATGTGTTGTCTCTGCCTGGCAGGGTTTTCATCCAGACTTGCTTCATTATTGATTGTCTTTCGAGCTCTCTGAGTTGTGCACAATTCATGAATAAACCTGATTGAGTGATTTTACCTAAACAGTGCTTGGGAACAGTTTTTTTTTCCACGACACACTGATACTGAAATTGTCTTGGGTCAGCTAGACAAGCCAGAAAAGAGCTGTTGTGGTAGTTATCACTGTTATGTCAAAGGTAGGATTTTTTACTTCTGACCAGCTAATCTACCAGTCAGGGTCAGTGAAGACTAAAAATCATTCAGTTCTCTGACCTTCTCTCCTGTATTTATTTTTTTGTTTGTTTGTTTTTTATTTTGCAGTGTGACACGCAGCGACTACTTGAACACATTTGAGTTCCTGGACAAGCTGGCAGAGAACCTGAAGATAAAGCTGGCCACGCAACCCAAACTGTGATCCCACTTCCCCAGCTGCAGCACTTACACACAGACACACACCGCTGGCCCACGCACACAGGGGGTGACCTTCCAGAAAGCGGAGTGTTGGCCAAGCAGGCAGGAACTCCACAAGGTCTTAGCCGTAGCAAAGGTTTGATCAAGGAGGGTGCGCCATCATTCATGCTGCATCAGAGCTGCATCACCCAGACATTAACAGCCTCCAGGAACTAAATGACCTCTGACTTTAAGGCACAGTGTTGTTTTTTATTTTACTATGGTTGCACTAGCTCCCTGATGTTCTCTTGGACCAGAAGTTGCTAGTGAACTTCTGGACCGTCATTGCCTTATTTGCTATTTTTATATAAATCATGTGTGGATTCTGGTCTTCTCCGTTGCCTCATCATGTTTTACAAAAACCTCAGACGCCGTTGTGAAACTGGACAGCCGGAGAAGCAGAGCACAATCACCGGTGTTGACTGTAATGAGACTTTTCAGCTTTCAGCTGAGTGACTAAACATTCCATGACATTATTCATCTCGTAACTCAGAAAACATAAGAAACTGTAAAGATTTCAAGAAGTCTGACTCCTTAATACAGTTTGCGAGCACACTACTCATAACCAATATAAACTCTTAAATGTCCAACACTGACTTAACGAAGAGATGTATTTATATGCCGTTGTGTGTGTGTGTGTGTGTGTGTCTTTGTGTGTGCATCAGCAATAAATTCATGTAATAAATGTGTCTGCCAAAAACAAAGTTGTAAAACTGTTCATTTTATAACAATACACAGACATTAGAGCTCAGAGTACAGTAATCAATTTTAATATCAGACACAGATAACCTAATTAATTGAAATGGTTTTAAATCGTTACATTTTTGATGGAAGAAAGCTATGAAACATAACCCCGCTTTTACTACCAGTTTATTTTAACCCCCACATCCATAAAATGAACTTTTAAAAGCTAAATTTGATTTAGCCAGATTGGTCAAAGTCTTGACATCTGTCAACCATTGACTGGTTGTCACCATGTAGGGGGGCACAAGCAATTATTAAGTTTTGGGGAGATTTTACTAGGATGGTTGTGACCCTATAGTTTTTCACATAACTGTAAGCAAAATGTGGGAAACGTTTGACTGAATCTGGAATGGAACTGTGAGGATTCAGCAACAACGTAGTCTGATCTCTGTTGAAAAGCCATCTGTCAGATAAGAAACAAATAGCAGGTTGAAAAACAACATATGGACACAATTGTATTACAATCTCCTATGTTATTATTATTATTAATTACTCAGTAAATTGATTTTGATTGTTCAGCAACAACAGGATGTGGCTCGCTTTTGCTTTACTTAGACAATACTTGTTTATGTTCCAAGTTAGAATCAAATTAACCGCCATGAAAAAACAAAATTAGAATACATTATGTCACACCACAAGTATTTTTATTAAAAAAAAAAAAAAATTAACATTTTTTAAAATTAGGTTGCCCAATTACTTTTGGGAAACCTAATTGCTGTTCTTGAATTGTGGTTGAAGGCCGAACAAAAATCATTCAGAGGACCGCGAGTGACCCCCTAGCCATTTATTGGACACCGCTGATTGACAGGAAGTATCTGTGCTCAGTGTTATTGCAGCGTAATAATGTCAAGGTTGACGTGATTGTGTTAGTTTTTAATAAGTTTTACTAAATCACAATTCGTCTGCCTTTACTAAATAATAAACGTAAGAGATTTCTTTTTAGTTTTGAACATGATAAAAAATACAAAATCACGCAGATGAGCAAGACATATTTTTAGTTCTACAATAATCTTAACATGCTCGAAAATTGCGACCGTATAAAAACCTGAAGCAGAAACAAGAAAAACAATATGAACCCGAGAGCCTGAGTTTGTCCAGCAGAGGGCGCTGTGGCAGGAAAAGCCTCCGCTCGTGTTTTTGACAGTAAACAGCTGACAGCAGGTGATAACAGGTGATAACAGCACTGGAACTTAAAACAGAGTAACTACTGTAAGCACAGAGCTGCCGGGCCGCAGGGTGGGAGCCGCCTCATTCTCACACACCGTCCCTGAACCTGCCGGTGCCCGCCGCATCATGGACCCTCAACGCAACCAAGTGAACTCCAGAGGGAGAAACGACCCGAGGCAGAGCGCAGCGGGAGCGTCCGGAGCGGAGCCGCAGGCCGGGTATGTGGACGGACAAACCCCCGAGGTGGGGAGGCAGCCAGCGGCAGACCGACAGCCACAGTAGTGAGTAAAAACGCCTGCAACTAATATGAACAAGTGACTCGCAAATGGTGACTGATGTTGAAAAACCAAAGAAAGAAATGTAAAGGCTGGCGTTTCTATCTGTGTTTACGTATAGGGTTTGTTGTTTTGTTTGTTTGTTTTGTGCTAAATGAAAATATATTATACTGAAAGTTGCGTTTTCCTTGACAATCAGCTCACTTTCAGTTTCGTTTCAGTTTAGCAATTGGAACCGTTGCCTTCAGGGTGTGTGGTAAATCCCAGTCTCCTCGAAAACGCTGGACGACTGGGTCTAGCAAGGACCAAAAAATAGCAACCTTAGCTAATTAACTCTAATGTAGACACTGAAGCTTTAACTGGAAGCTTTTAACGGAAGAAGACGGAAAGTATTAGAAAGGTAACATTGGTTTCAGAGTGTTTTTTTATTTTTATTTTTATTGTGCTATGTAAAACCTTTGACCAGAGGGTTTAGGGTGTGGAATGTCCATTTGGAATCCTCTGAATGATCTGGCGTGACTCCCATCAACTGCACCACAGCCTATAGGGTCACTGACAAATAAAAATATTGAGCTTTGATATTTCCAAAAAGTTTTCATTTATTTATTTATTTACCACATTGCAGGACAAAGTGAACCATCAGGGGAAAATAAACCCATATTTTCCATTTTACGGATTATGTTTCCATTATGACGTCATTATTTCCAGATGTGGTCACTCCTTAACTGTGATTATAGTGTATTTCTAAAGAAAGTAATAATTATTTGTTAATCAAATGTCCCCCACACTTATCCTATTATTTTAAAAGTGAAAACGGCAAAAAATAAATAAATCTCACATTTTTACAATTTCAAAGCCTGAAATCCATCAATAGGTGACAGCACTGTCATTTTCCATCAACATTCTATGTAATGGAGGAATTGTGATTTAATACAGTGATCTGACAGACAAAACTCAACTAACAGTCATTTTTCTAAACATTTGAAACAATTAATGCATCAAGGAGACATTTCTAAATGGCACTATAAACTGAAAACTGTTATTTCTCATAATAGAATGAAATTGCTCTCGAGTTTTTGAAGCTACATAAAATGAAACGTTTTAACGTACATATACAATTGTGTAGAAAACATTGTTGGTGATCTATTTTTTGAAATACAACTAGAGGGAGACAAATTGTTCTCTTTTTCATGGAATTCCTCCTTGGGCAACTCTGTTTTTGGTTTGCATTAAAAATAAATCGTGAACATAACCACAGACATTCAATAGTTTTATTTGCAGACTCGTTCTTCAAACTTGGCAAAATACAGAAAACTCTTTCAAAGAAAGAGGCATCCGTGTCTCTTTTTTTGGTCTCCTAGCCTGAAAAAATGTTCTTGACCAAAATGAAAAGCAGTTGAGCGACCAAAGAAATCTGCCTTTTAATAAGGCAAACGCACAGTTTTATTTATGTATTCAGATTGATTTGTTGGTTTTTCCTTTTTTTCAGATTTTCATGTTTTGTGTTTTTCAAAAGAGGTTGGCCTCAGACTGTGACCTAGGCTGGACGTCTGCGGCCTATAAATACTCACCTAACACAAACATGACAGAGGTTTAAAGCTTTTCCATGTGAAAAACTCTCCGGACGCTGGCAGGAAGCTGACAACAAGCCACTAATGGCTCCGTTCCACAGAGAAATCGGCTCGATTTTAAACACCCTGACCACAATCATCAGCTTGCTTTTCTTCCTGGGCGGAGGTTTCTGCTTGTTGGCATTTCCCTTTCTGTTAAATTATCAACAAAATCGCCCCAAACACTTCTCCAGCAGATTCCCTGGAACGTGGACAGACGGTCAGAGGAAACAGAAATCACACTTTGGTGTAAAGTCGGATGGTTTCTGTTAAAATGATCCCTGGATGAGTTCACTGAGTGTTTCTGTTCCAGGCCAGAGGAGCAGGATGTTCTGGGAGTCAGGAAAAGAAAAAAGAAAAATACATTTTGTCTTTCTCTGGAGCTTCACTTCAGAGAACAACTCTGCAAAAACACAACATCTTACCAAGTATTTCTGGTCAAGTTTATTGTCCAAATATTTTACAACATTTGAAAGAAGACAACTAATGAACAAGAAGCTTTTCAAAAAGATACAGGAGCTTAATTTTTTTATGTTGATATAAAAGTACTCGTTCCATTGGCAGATTATTTCATTTCCTTAATGATATGAGTGAAAAAAACTGCCAGTGGAACTAGTACAATCAATATTATATCTATATTAATGGGTGATTGACCATATAAAACCATATCTTGCTGAAAAGTTACTCATCAGTTAGTTTTGTCTTATTTCAAGTATAATAATAAGATATTTGTACTAGAAACTAGAGCAAATACTTGATAGGACTTTTGTGTTTTTGCAATGAAGTGAAAGTGTTTGAAACTAAAACATATCCAACGTTTATGTTTACATTTTAAAACCAGCAGTTCTGCATTTTAAAATCTTACACCGCAGTTTAACTTCGTTCACTTTTTTATGCCATTTTCATGTGGAATCTTGAGTTTTCATCTGCCTTGTCCAAGAGCGTTGAAGTTTCGACACTCCGCGGGTCCAACAGATGGATGTGTAGTTTTTAATACTCGAGTGTTTTGAATTTACGACAGTGTATCGCGGACACGGAGAAAAAACGAAGAGCAAAAGGTGAGAATTTCCAACAAAAAGCTCAGAAATTTTGAGATTAATCTCTGAAACTTTGTAGAAAAAAATTAAAGAAATGTCTGAGCAAAAAACGATCAAAAACATAAATAGAAAAACTCAGATGTTTTGAGATTATTCTCTGAAACTATTTTTAGAAAACAAACATGGCAAATTTTGAGTTTCAAAAAGTTAAGAAATTTTGACTTTCTGAAATTTTTTACTCAAAAACATATTGATTATTTTATTTACTGAGCCCCATCATCATCATCACCACCACCACCACCATTAGGAACGAGACTAAAACCACTGAAGCCCATGTTCACTTAATGTCGTCAATACAACATCTTGAATGTTGCAGATGCAACATATCAGAATGGGGTGTGAAATGCGTTGCTTTCATTATGTATTCAGTCGGGAACGAGTCACATGTCTCAAATGTAGAATCGGGTTTTGATGCTGCAGCACCTGTTCAAACTTTGTCTGAATGCTGGATTAGAGTCGGCGTTCTCGTCCCTAACCGGCTCTTTGTGTCTCAGCTCAGGAGCGTTCACCGTCATTCCGCCCAACCAGACCCGCCGGAGCAAGACCAAAGAAAGTAATGATCCGCTTAAATCTGCTCTGATCTTCATAAACGTTTGGCAAATTTGCTTCCGGTGATTGATGTGGAATTCCTCTGCAGTAGCTCAGAAGGGAATTGAGAATCTTGAGAGGTTCAAGGAGGCACACAGGCCCGGTCCGCTGCACCTCGCTCCAGAGAGGCTGGGTAATCACTGTGATCAGCCTCATTACATTCACCGAGTTTATCGGCACTTTATAGTCACTGATATCTGTTGATCCATCCAGGTGGAGGGGATGTAAGTATAGCCGAGGCCAGGCAGAGGCAGTTTACCAACCAGAGAAACTCCAGGCTGCAGAAGAAGGTATATTATCTTCCCTCATACACTGAAAAGGCAAAATCTTACCAAGTATTTTAGTTCACTTGAAATAAGACAAAACTAACCTATAAGTAACTTTTCAGCAAAAAAATTAAGAGACCACTTCAAATGATCGGTTTCTTTGGTTTTACTCTTTGCAGGTAGATGTTTGAGTAAAATGAACATTTTTCTTTTATTGCATGAACTACTGTCAACATGTCTCTGAAACTCCACACAAAAATCTCAGTATTTATTTTCAGAAAATGAGACATGGTGAAAATAACAAAGATGCAGTGCTTAAATAATGCAGAGAAAACAAGTTCATATTCATTTAGAAACAACAATGCTAATGTTCGAAGAGATCAGAAATCAATATTTCTGATCAACAGGAGGTTTTCCATGGGGTTCAGTGCGTTGGGCTCTTCATTCTATTCCAGAGCTGTGTAGGAGCTTGTTTCATGGAAATAATTTCTTGAAATCAATGAAAAAAATACTTGTTTTATTTGCAGATTAAATCACTTTTAACAAGGGGAAATTGTCTTGTTCTAATACATTTATCTGCCAGTGAACTTGTACTTTTTTTCCCACCAATATCAAATTTACATAAAACAAGCTCCTATATCTTTCTGAAAAGTCATGTCTAAGTTAGTTTTGTCTTGTTTCAATTGTAATAAAATATTTTCACTAGAAACCAGATCAAAATGATCTGGTAAGATGTAGTGTTTCTGCAGTGTATTGTTTTGATATGTAGATTTGTGTGATCCAGCCACGCAGCGTTCAGACAGCAGACGCTTTGGAAACTGTCGGATGTAATTCAGTTCCACACGTGAACGTGTGACACAGACTGGGGTTATGTCTTTGACACTGCGGTGGAAACGTCAGACAGGGGAAAAAAAATTGGATTGGGGTCAAATTCACCTGCACTATAAAATGCTTCTACACAATTTACCATCAGATAGGATGAAGTATTTGGTTATGGGAGCTAATGACAAACTGATTTTCATATTTATATTATTTCAATTCATTTTACATTTACGGACTAACTTGCCTCGGTGCATCACACCCAACCTAATGGAAGATTTTTAAAATTTGAGGTTGCAACATTTAGCCATGTTGCAAACAGGGATGTGAATACTTTTACAGCACTTGGACACATCCTAATCAGGGTTTTTTGTTTTTGTTTTTTTTCATCTATCAAACATTTGTGGTAATTCTGTGGCATCCTGTTTCATAATTCCCAAATCAGAGACAGAGCAGCTGATTAAATAGGTTTTGAAATGCTGTGTCTGAGCGTGCTTAAGCAGTGTGATTAAATATGATTATCTTATCTGACCTTTTACGTTGGAGTTCTTTTTTGTTTTTCCAAGCTTAAAAAGGAGGAGATGGACAAGAAGAAGAGACAAGAGGAGGAGGAAGAGTGGCAGAAGATGAAGGCCGCACAGAGGGAGAAGGTGAGTCCAGACGTATAAAATCAGAATCATGTCTGCAGCACAGATGTCTGAAATGTCACAATCTGAAGGACTGCTGGGTTGGTTTTTATTTTTCACATTTCCATTCCTCTTACCAACAAAAACATACATTTTTTTGATCAGCCATTTTTTTGATCAGCCGTTTGTGATGGAGGTTGTTATGTGGGGAGTTTTCTGACCAAGCGTTCCGATCTTTTATCACCTTAATTAGTGTCACTGTTCTCCATCCTGATGGAAAATCCACAGAACTTCACCAAACTGATGGGAGAGGCTCCTCCTGAAGTCACATCTGTACTCATAACCATGTCATTAGGGGGAATTGTGGGTAAACATGATTTATTATGTGGGTTTTAAAACAATGTTTCGCTTTTACTTCTATACAAATGATTTTCCAGAACAATCAGAGGAAATAACTTTAGCAGTTGCTCCTGCAGCTTCCTGAATGTTCTTCAACTCAAATGCCTTCGTCCAAAACTCTTCTCCTCACAGTGTGCACGCCCGCAGCTACACCTGCTGCCAATCATGAGCGAGCTCTGCTCTGGTGGCACTACTCTGGATGACACTGCACTGCAAAAACACAACATTTTACTGAGTGTCTTTTGTCTGGTTTATAGTGGAAACGTCTTAGTTCACTTGAAATAAACTAACTTAAGAGTGAATGTCAGCAAGGTACAGAAGCGTGTTTTAGTCAGTTATTCCTTAATATTGATGGAATATTAAGGAAGATTAATTCACTTATGAAAAGACATTTTTCCCATATGATAAGTGAAATAATCTGCCATTAAAACCTGTAATTTAAGGTGTTATTGACTGAAAACAAGCTCCTATATTGCGATGAAAAGTTATATGTAAGTTACTTTTGTCTCATTTCAAGTGTATTAAGATATTTACAATAGAAACTAGACCAGAGATACTTGATAAGACTTAGTGTTTAGTAGTGTTCAGCCTCCTGAAGTCGTCTTCTCTGAAATTAAACATTGCATCTTGAAGTTCTTCACAACTCACAAAACACTTCTTTCAACTCTACATCCTGCTTCTTGTTGTCTTAGTTTACTTTTGAACAATTTATGTCACAACTCAACAACTCCTCAAGAAACGATTCTTCTTTTAAAAGAGCGAAACATCTGCTTGAGAGAATGCAAAGCTGTGATTCAGTGAAACATGAGAAGGGAGAACTGCCAGGTTTGGCCTGTAGGTGTCAGCAGAGACAAGCGTCCAGTGAAGCGTCTCCGTTTCTCCCGGCGTCAGGCTGAAGAACCACCTGACTGATGGGGCTGTGGAGGAATGAATGTCAGACGTGTTTCTGGGCGATTACCGCAGGACACCAAACCGGTAACCATAGAGACCGTTTTCCCACGTTGCGCCATTGGCGCACGGCGGTAATCCAGCTGATAAACCCGCGCTGAGAAACAGTCTGATCTCAGATTATGAACGTGACGGGACAAGGCGGCGGCGGCGGACACCGAGCTGCCTTCCTGTTCGGGGAGACAACATCCTGATTTTACAGGAGTTACTGTCTCTATGACCCAGATGTTCAGACCGCCAGCATCACTGATCCCACAGTCTGGACATGCACTGATCCCATGTGATGCATCAAAAAAACAAGATGAAAAACTGTGATGTAAATATAAAACCTTTTCTAACCAATAAATCCATTTTCTCTCAAAATCTCAGGAAACAGTAAAGAGAATACTTCGTGAATAAAAAGCCTTTTTTATGGCAATTATAATTCAGTTATTTCCTTTATAACAAGGAACAAATATCTGTTATAAGTGAAATAAGTTGCCAGTGGAACTACAACTTTTTTAAAATCAATATTAAGAAAATATAGTCTTCAAACAAGCTTCTATATCTTGCTATATTAGAATATACATAAAACCTTACTTAATAAGGTTTTATGTTTTTACATTTTCATCTATTAAATGCACATTTTTTACTGATAAATAACGCCGTATTAAAACATGCATTCCTATTTATGAATAGCTTTTTATTCATTTTTAGTTTAGGAGTAACTGGGACTACAAACCTATTATTTTTTTTCTCAAAAGCAATGTATTTTTTTCTCAATTAAGAAAACATTCAAGCTCCCCTCAAAAAACAAATTAAAACTGGGATCTACTGATCTGTTTTCTACAAAAATCAGACCATTTTGTTCATTTTATCAAAACTGAAACTGTTTAGTTCATTATTGAGCAGATAAAATTAGGAAAAAATAAAAAAAAAATAGGAAAGGCATCAGAAATGATTTTCTTTCAAATCTTACTAAAAAAAATGTTTAAAAATTTTTTTGTGCTTTCAACTGAACACCTTTGGCCCTTCAGGCAGAACGGTTCGACGTTTGAAATATGTGAATATATTTATAAATGTGTCTCTTCATAAGAGATCTAGGTTAAGCTGTAAAAATATTGATTCACCAATTCATTGCAATTCATTAATCAGTGTTGATTATTGTGTTACTTTCTTATTTTCAGATGTTTTACTGCTAAAAAAACAAATCTAAGTGATATATTAAAAACTTAATATGCTAAATTATTCCCAATTTGGTAAATTGCTGGTATGCTACTCATTACTGAATCAATAAGGACGTCTTTAAAGTGATATTGAATTGAATCATGATTGAATTTTGAGGTTTTTAGTGCAGTCTGACGCCCTTATTAGAATGGAAAATATGAGAATATAACAAACCAGTTTATAATGTTTACACATGTAACATATCCATCATTTACAGTTCAACTAAAAAGGAAACGTGAGAAGGAAACAGTTAAAAAGTTAATATTACTGCTGAACTAACACATCTCGGCTTGGCAGTATTGGTGATATTTGTCCTCTATTCCTTATAAAATCTCCATATCTGACAGATTTCCATCAGTCCACATATTTACTTCTAACTCTGGCTTTAATTTTTCTCTGTTCTATTCGTTTGAGTTTAGATTTGGATGTATTCCTGGACTCAGAAAACAAATAAAAAAACGAAAGACCTGAACATGATTCTGCCACTCCCATGTTTCATAGTGGAAATGAGTTCCTCTGATTAGAGTTTGGAAGATTTAGCTAGAACTGGACCTTTTGTTTGGATTTAAAATTAATAAATCAGATTCAGTATAATTGATGGAGAGTGTGAAGCTAAGAATACTGACTGAAGGCACTGAATCACTTTAACCTCTAAATTATTGTGGCTTTTAATCCTTTTACATTTGACCCTCTAAAAGATTTGTTTATCATTTGAATTGTGCAGCAGGTGTGTTACATTAAAGGCAGGAAATTGTGAAAATTTTGTTTTATGGTCAGTTTATTCTTGTATTTAACACAGATCTGTGTTAAATCTGAATGCAAAGGGCCAAGCATGGATCCCTGTGGGACACCACAACCATGTAACTTTACTGGTTATATGGTCTTTAGATAACTTCACTGATAATACTGGTAAAAAGCAGAAACTGAGAAGTGAGACACACAAAAAACCAAAACACTATTGAATGAATGATTAGTGACATCAGAAGCAGCACTGAGGTCGAGAATTAGAAGGAAGAAAGCGTATTTTTGGCTGTGTAAGCTTTGTGCATAAATGAAAAAAATCCAACAATATCAGTATTTATTTTGTTGAATTGCAGTGTTTTGCAGCCTGTGTATGACGCTGTGGTACTGAGTGTTGACTGTGCCTTGTTTCAGGCTGATCGTCTGGAGCTGAAGAGGCGGCAGGAAGACGACAGGAGGCGGGAGCAGTTCCGCACGGATCAAACCAGGTCAGGCCAGGATCTCCCTCTCTTGGTTCTCACAGGTCTGTTTGTGTCTTGCCTCTCTGCTGTAGAGGTGAGTCACAAATGCAGCGTCAGAGTCAGGTGATATAATTGTCTCTCCATCGTCTGAGCCCCCGCAGTCGATGTTGTCACATCGCCGCCACAAGCCACAACCGTCAATGTATACCCCAGGATTTAATGTGATAGAGCAGCACAGAACAAAACTGTGAGATGGGTAAAAAGATCTCTTTTTTTGTAGTGATAGTATCATTTATACTATGCACACCCTCCTCACCCCTTGAGTCAATCCCAGAACCACCTTTCACTGCAGTTACAGCTGCAGATCTTCTGGTTTGTGTTTCTCATGCTGTTCTAGTCCAGACTGAGATTTCAGCCTGTTCCTTTCTGGGAAACAGTGCAAACCCAGTCAAATCAGATGCCACAAACTTTCAGTTAGATGTGGCTCTGAACTTTGCACTGTTTGGTTTCTTCCTTTCTTTCTACTCCACATGAATATGAGGGGTAGTTTAATGTAGTTTAATTGGACGTGCTTTGATGTAAGTCATTACGTTGTAGCTCAGGCTGCATTTGAACCTCCGCTCCGCTCTCAAGTTTGTTGCAGCAGGGTTGAAGTGTTGAGTCTGATGTGTAGTGTTAGTTTTGTACGTTTTGCTTCCTGTACGGTGTGTGAAATCTGGCATTTTCAGGTTGTGTTTCTTTCAGCAATGTATCCAAGACTTTGTCAGTATTACTCTAATGTCAAAAAACCACGATGTATGAGGCCTTGTGTCCATTAAAGAAGAAACACAATTAAAATCACACGTGAATGAGTTTGTTATTGAAAAAGAAAACCACACATGTATTTTATTTAGGGATGTCAGGGTTAAAAGGGCTAAGTGCACATGCATGTTACTCTTTTCACATGTAATTAGTAATATAAAGGTATTGGTTTCTTCTGACTACACAATCATTTACCACTTTTTGTTGATCTGTTAGAAAAAAATACATGAATAACATACATGAAAAATAAAATAAATAATAAAGCAATTAAATAAAAATTGAATACATAAATTAAATAATAAAATAAAATACATGAAAGTTTGTAATTGTAATTTGATTAAATGGAAAAACATTCAACTATGGGCTCTACTTGTTCTGTACAACATACATGGATGGATGGATGGATGGATGATGGATGGATGGATGGATGGATGGATGGATGGATGGATGATGGATGGATGATGGATGGATGGATGGATGGATGGATGGATGGATGGATGGATGGATGGATGGATGGATGGATGGATGGATGGATGGATGGATGGATGGATGGATGGATGGATGGATGGATGGATGGATGGATGGATGGATGGATGGATGGATGGATGGATGGATGGATGGATGGATGGATGGATGGATGGATGGATGGATGGATGGATGGATGGATGGATTCCCACCTTCAGATTTTAAACGTGTGATTGATTAAAGGTGTGATTGTGAAGAATTAAAACTAATCAGCACAGATGAGATGCAGTGGGAACATGAACACACAGATCTAGGAAGTATTTGGAGATAATCAGTGTGGGCTGAGTACACACCCTTGAGGCATCCTAGTGGAGTCAGCGATGGGTTTTTAGTGAAAATAAAAATCCTGTCTTTCAAGACTTCTTGAAAGACAGGATAATATGAAACATTGACAGTTTCTAGGTTTTTTAAGAGTTGCTTTGATCCATGTTTGACAAATCCCTGTGGAAACAAGTGGTTCAGCTGGTCTGATCAGGCAGCTGGTGTGTTCATGTTTTGCAGGAAAAATGACAGTTTTCTGCAGAGTCTCCAGAGAGCGGCTGCTCCATCCGCCGGTGCTGCACACACATCGTCCATGGTGAGCTGCCGACCTTCACATGAAAGCAAACCAAAGTGTTCAGCGTGTTCCTCCGGGCTCAGAACTGAGCTGTGTTGCGGCCGTGTAATCTTTGTAAGATTTTAACACCAACAGAACTGCCTTTGCAGCCTGTTTTCTGAGTAAATACTTCTGGGCGTGGCGTTTTTACTGACTGAGACTGCGAGGAAACCAAGTCCTGTCCCTTATCTGCCAGGTTGGGGAAACCTGCAGTATCTCCTGGTCAGAGCTGGAGGACATGGAGGTCGTGTCCAGCATGGAGAGATAAACCACTTCTTACTGCTCTGTGTTGTCTCTCCGACTGTTCCTATTACTGTCTTTTCATCCCCCCACCCCCTCCTCCCCTCTCTCTTTCTCAGATTTCTCTTCCACTCTGTGTTGGTTTTCCTGCGAGGGAATGAACAGAGTGCTAGCAGAGTTCAAGGGACTTCCCAGAGTTCACACTGAGTGGAGACAGAGTTTGAGTGCGGCATGAGTAAAGTGCACATTGTGTGTAAAATAAATGAACAGAACACCCTGTAGCGGTAATCGTACCTGCAGAAAAAGCCCCGGCTCTTCAACCAGCGCTCAGTGTCTTGTCAGTTAATGAGGTCAACTTGCACTTTTGGGTTTTCTCCTTCCTGTGTTGTGGAACCTTTTTCTCAATTCTGCTGAGCTGTTGAAAATGCCTTGACTGCATTGTTTGCTTTCATTATTACTTTTCACTCCCGGTGATTATGAACGGTAGAGGTAGTTTAGTTGAATTTGACTTTTAGGACCGGCATAAATATAAGCTTTGTGCTTCTGCCTGTGCCTTCTCAGTCAAAATGTTCAAGTTGGTGGAGTGGTTTGAATTATTCAAAGCAAATTATTTGATGACTGACTAAATAAATAACTACATTTATACATCCGTTTAATATGCATTCACGACACGAGTCCTAAATGGATTTATGTCAGATGAAACTTATTGGTATTTCATAGTAAAGAGGATTAAAATACAAAAAAAATGAAAGTTGAGGATGCTGGAAGAGGTCATGTTTGCTTCAGTTTCCTCTGAAAGTGTATTCTCTACTGTTACGGCCTGTTTTATTTATTCAATTAGCTCATCAAACTCATTCAATTAATTAAATTAATCAGTTGAATAATTCAATCTGAAAGTTTCCACTCGGCTTGCTGATTGAAATGGTACTATTTACTTTATGTTTACCCAGCCATGTCTCATTGAGATTAAAAATGTCTTTTTCAAGAAAGACCTGGCCAAGATGGGCAGCAACACACTGACAGCTTAAATACAATATAGATGATAGTGGAAGAAAAATAACAAAAAGCAAACTCAACCATAATAGTAAAAACAGGTCTAAAATACAACTTCATGCATTTACAAAAAAAAAATCACTTAAAATCGATTAAGTGTGGCATTAAGATTTGTTTAGGTTAACAAACTCAAATGGTTTAAGGCAATCAGTGGATTCAGTGAACTCAAACCACTTGAATTGTCAGGTTTTACAGTGTGGAGACACCCAGGGTCAAATTGTGGTGGTCTATGACCAAAACTCTTTTATTAATGAAAAGTCTTCGTTCTGTGGTGAAAGACAAAACATCAACAAAAGGTTCATCTCCTCTCCTCTCCTCTCCTCTCCTCTCCTCTCCTCTCCTCTCCTCTCCTCTCCTCTCCTCTCCTCTCCTCTCCTCTCCTCTCCTCTCCTCTCCTCTCCTCTCCTCTCCTCTCCTCTCCTCTCCTCTCCTCTCCTCTCCTCTCCTCTCCTCTCCTCTCCTCTCCTCTCCTCTCCTCTCCTCTCCTCTCCTCTGTTCTGCACTTTTCCCTCTCGTCTTTCTTCTCCCAGCCCACAGTTCTGTCAGATTGGGGGATGAAAGCTTGTGGCCGCTGCTCGGTGTATCTGATGTGGTTTCGACTCGGACCCAGGATCTGTTGTTCTTTCAGTACTGGCTCCAGCATACAGACAGATCTCCCCCTTTATATCTTCTAGTTATGAGTGTGTGTTTGAGGGGGAGATTTAATGCTGAGTTTTGATGGGAGCGGACCGATCCCACCGGTGGATTGCACTCACTTTGCCCTCACTCACCAATCAGCTCTCCTGGAGAAAAAGCAGGGGGAAAAAAGTTTATTTTGTGTTTCTGAACAACTCAGCTAGTTTTCAGTTTTATCCAATTCTTATTTGTAAAGTAGTTAACCCTCTCTTTGTGTCACTCCTCCTGTTTGTCGTTTTTGCTGAGAGTCTTCCATCTCCATATTGTTGCTTGTTGTCAAGGTCAGACAAGTGCAAATCCTCTGGGATGTGTGACTGATAGGAATCTATTTCTGCACCGCTGCTTGTTTCAGCCTGATTAACCTCTGCACCCATGTTTACGTTCTTGATCTCCAACAGCTTAACTCCTCTGTTAAGAAGTAGATTACATTTGCAGTACGTAACTTCTATAAACATTTTTTTTCCATATCTAATGAAACTGTCACCATGTTGTGACAGTTTGAAATGAGATAAGCTGTGAAAAGGTGGAGCTGCTCTATCGTCTCCCAGTGCTGCTATTGTGGGCTGCAAAAACAGCCAATCAGAATCAGGAGGAGGGTCTTAGCGTTGTCAATCATCCTCCTGTAAGTAGCTCAAGCGAAAATCAACCTACTGTTACAGAAAAAAAACTTTCATTCTCTGACATCGGTGCAACATATGCTAACTAGCATTAGCATATGTTGTGGTGAATCATTTGTAGCTTACCAAAGAGGAAGCATGAAGGGTGTTCACGAGAGTGATTGACAACGCTAAGACCTTCCCTTGGCTCTGACTGGTTGTTTCTGACAGAGCGATGTATTTCTGCAGTTAGTACAGGGAGGAAACTCCATTTTTTTTACAGATTATGTGTCTTACATTACATTGTCACGGCATAGTGGTCATCATAACAAATATTTGGAAAATATGTTGTTTAAAAAATTGACATATTTCAATTTTAACACAACTCTATATCATGTATTATTGTTTGGTTTTCTCTGTGCGTATTGCAGGCTTATCAGAAGGCCAAGCCGTTCTGTACGTAAGAGTCACTCGGCGACTCAAGGAAACTATATTCTGTAAAATATTTTTCAAGCGTTTTGTGTGATTTTCCTGCATTGCTTGCTATTCAGTTCTTAAAAGATGTTTTTCTTATTTCAGAACAAAGTGGGCAACCAGGAAGAAGTATGGACAAGAAGTATGGAAGAGCTGCAGCTGGAACACAGGAGGTACAGAGAACCAAACCCAGCACTTTCTCCTTTTAGAGAGGCGAGTTCAGCTTAGTGAAAAACAGAGAGTTGAGACGCGGGAGCTAAAGGAGGATTGGCACCTGTCACTGGATTCGGTTCAGTTTCTTCATATGACTATAAACACAAGGTCCTGTTGATCCTAGTTATCAGCCAGTGCATTAACATCAGTTCCTTAGCTTAAAAAGTTTTAAAGAGTTAAAAAGAGCTGATAGCCTGACTAATGAACAAACTAGCGTCAGCTTGTTAAGCTTCTCTTTCTTTATAAAGGGCAGAATATTTGAAAAAATAAAACAAAAACAGAGCAACAATCATTTGGAACCTCCTAAATTTAGAAGGTTTATTTTTAGTCAATTTACATCAACAAAAGTAGAAATAATTCATGTTTGTTCCTTTTAAGTCTAAGAAATCAGATCGTGTTTGGATAAGATTTGTATGCACATAACATGATATCACAAAATGTGATTTGTTTACTCATTTATAACATGGAGGAAATCAGTAGTTCTGGTGAACTTGAGGACAAACTGGGTTTAAATTTTAAAGGGGCAGTTTTTTTTATATTTCAAGGTGACAAATTAAAAATTGCGAGTCATTTGAAGAACAGACTAAACAGCTCTTCTACCCAAGATCTGTTGTTACCTTCAATACAGCTAATCCATCTAAAATCTGATCATTATCTATTTATTTTTCTCAGCATCCCAGGTATTTCTCTGTCTCTACTATATTTATTAAGAGAAATTAATTTATTATTTATTCATCTATTTGACTTTCCTTAGAAAGTCTATAATTGCTATTTTTAAAATTTAGTTGTGCCTTCTTTCATAAAAGATGACAATAAACTGAATTCTGATAGATGCAGCATTTTTACAACAACTGAAGGTAACATAGTGACTTGATTGTGCTGTAAAAACACCTAATAATTCCCATATAAAGAATGAAGTCAAACCAAGCGCTAAATAAGGTGAACAGTTTGCTGTGTTGGCCCCAGTCGGACTGCTTGTTGTCTGAGTCAGTGAAGGTTGAGTGTCTGCAGGCCGTTTAACAACCTCACCATGAGGTACCAACACTTGAAGCTGTCTGTGTTTTGGAGCCCACCTGTAATTTGTCTGAAATGTCTTTTTCTTTTTTTTTTAAACGGCTCCCTGTGTGTTTCGACAGGGTGAACCAAGCCTTCCTCGATAAGCTGGAACGTAACGCAACGGAGACGGAGGTCGAGGCCAACAGCCGCACCGGCCCGGAGGAAGAGCGTCCATGTTTGGCCGCTGACGATCACAGGCGACACACCGCAGCCGGACGCGTCGGCCTGACTCACCCAGAGCCCGGTCCGGAGCGCCGCTGCTCTGACTGGACGGAGGAAACTGGTGAGCTGAAATGACGTGTGTGGGCAGCCTGCAATCTACTCTTTCTCACGCCCCGTTTTTCTTTTTTTTCATGTTTGGTTTTGCGCTGGCTAACCAAACCTAAATCAGGTATGTGAGTTGGCCAACTTATCGTTTGTGAGTTTGTCTGTTTAGTCTGTAATAAATCAAACATTGTGATGCTTGCCAGGAGGAACTTATGCGTGGCATGTCGTCTATCTGTTCTTGTCGGCTCTTAAGACTCGCAGACACCTGCAGTTTGTGGGACTCTGGAAGAGTGCGACTGTTTGTGTGAGGGAGGTTTTTTTTTTTTGCTTTTGAAAACAAAAAGATCTGAGGTGAACGTGACACGTTAATTAAATCTCTGTCACTTGCTATGATACGACTGAAAATAGCATCAACGCTTTAGGTTTCTGTCACAGAGCCAACAAGTTCCTGGAAGCTGCATTGGAGAGTCAGAGTTGGCAAGCAAACCATCCCAACGTATTAAACTGCGCCTCCTATAGCTGAAAATGACACTTGATGCTGCAGTTCGCCTGCGGCTCATACTTTAGGAACAAAAACACACTGTTGATCTCACTGAGCGCTGCTTCTGCCTGCAGCCATCAGAAAAATGGATCTCTGTATGTACAGCTGTGCTACTCTGGTGTGAGTGACTGTAAACTGGCAGAGATACAATCAAAAATGATTTATAATGACTGTGATTCCATTTACTGTGTGTTAGTTTTTAGTGTTTGTCCTAGAATTTATGGCAACACTTAACAGCAATAGTCACGTTATTGTAATTAAGTACAATGACATGGTCTGAGCAGAAGGAAGTGGGTGGGATCTGATTAGGTATGAGATGGGTCTATGATGGCGTGTTAGGATCATTGGAGAAACGAAAGGAAGTTATAAAAAATAATTTCAGAAATTTTCTAAAAAATGGCAAGAAAATTTATTAGGATTTACACAGAAATGAATCGCTGTATTTCAGTGTTTTAATTCAGAATTTGTTATTCCTGAGAAATCCCTGCACCATGTCCAACACTGAGAGAAGATTCTGTTTTATTTATTTCATGTCATTTCCATGTCTCTGACTGTCATAGGTTCTCATTGATAGATGAATCCCAGGGTTAAAGCATCTCGCCCTGCCTCTGCATTGTCAGTTTTTACTGGAATAACGTAGCAAAATCAGGACGGCTTCACTAGTCCAAGGTCAAAGCCAAAATCTCCAGGAATATAGCAAAACCTTCAACCTCAGCGCCGCCATTGTGGGCGCAATTCTGCTTGTCACAATCCCACAACATCCTCTATCCATGACGGAATGCGTCCGCCAGATCCGACCCGACTTTCACCAGCATGAAGCCTGTGTTTTTCCGCCCGGCTCTAACCTGAGCGGGCAGCAGACGCCGTCGTCCTCGACACGGAGCGATGGATGGCTTCACGTCCCTGCAGCAGGAAGCGGCGCAGAGTTCAGTTCACGGAGAGCGAAGAAGATGACTCAGTTTGTGTTTACAGTTCAGGCGGCTGCCAACAGGAAGCAGCTCACTCTCATCTGTTTCTGACTCTGTTAATAAAACAAGGCAGCATCACGTAACGAGAAACAAATGTTCACACGATCATTTTGAATAAACAAGCATCTGCAGCTGCTGCACATCCCACATTATCAGGTAGCTGCTTCTGGACATGAAGATGTTTAGTTTTTGCTCTTACGCTTTAAATTTCTTCTTAACTTCACCTGTCTGACTGGTTCTTAGTTGTCATCGCCATCATTTTTCTTTCACTACTTAATTATGAGCTTTTCTGTATGACATTAAATCTCAGTGAAATATTTGGTTGTAATGTGAGAAATGTGTAAAACTTTACCAGCTGTGAATCTGTTCACACCGGCAGAGATTCTGCCCTCACAGGTCTATATCACCACTCTGCAACATGATATTATTTCACTTTCATTCCTGAATTGGAAACGTGATGCAAATCAAATCTCGTCCTGAGGAAAAGAACAAGATTTCAAGTTCACATGAACTGTTTACATGAGACAAGCAAATCCTACAGAACATCTCAAACAGTTTTTTTTTTCTCTCTCTCTCTTTTATTAATGCTACTGTTACAGTTTACCGTCTAACCTGAATCATGTTTCAGGTTCGGCTTTCAATAGCTGTTGTGAAACAGGGAGTTAAACTGGAAGGAAGCTAATTGGTCGAAATTCAGCTGAGTTGCAGTGATTGGTCAGAAAATAAGAAAATACAGAAAATGTTACAGTGATTGGTCAGATTTGCATAAAAGTTGCAACGACTGCTGAGAATCATAAAGTCTGCGTTGAATTTGCTGACGATGACCTCACAGTTTCCTGGATGGACTGATATCTAAAGGTCAAAGATAAACTTGTTACTGCCGTAATCATAAATATATTTATTTGGAAACAGAAATCTAATATTTGTTCTTTTCCATAGTAAGGTCAGAATTTCATCCTGATTCTCGTATAGTTAGAAAGTAGAGCTAAACTTTTCTGTTTGATAATATCCTTCACTGTAAAACATCTTTTACAGCATTTCCATATTTTTCCGACTGTGCACACAAATCTGTTATCAAAACCCCTTTTTGTTGTTGTGTTTTTTGTTTTGTTTTTTAACGAAAAGCAAAATATCTCCAGCCCTGAACCTGGACCGTGTGTTTTCCAGACCCGCAGGCCGACCTCGACTGGAACCTGATGAAGCTGTTGAACATCTTCCCTGACTGCAGCAGAGACTTCGCCCAGGACATCCTGACCCAGTGCAACGGCGACTACGAGCTGGCCTGCGCTCTCCTGGGCAGCACGCTTGCTTAAATTCGATCCGCTTGTTGGTAAATGAGACGGTAGGACGCTTTGAGACAAGCAGATTTGTGTGGGGAGGTTTGGTGCTCACATATAAAATGCTCCGCTGCCTGCCATATGCAGCTGTAACAAACGATACCTACAGGGCTGAGAGCGACTCCCAGGATCTGCTTCCTATTATTGCTCGGTGCGTTGCATCTGTCTGGTGAGTCACGCTGGCTTTTTGAGCCCACTCAGAGTCCATGTTGTTCTTATATGAATTTGGTAAAGGTCGCTGTTTATGACTCACAATGTTTAAATCATATTTTGGGCTTCTAATTTGATCAATATGTTTTATTTGTGTGGTTGTTTTTTTGTTGTTGCTATCTGCTCAGATTGTTTGTCATGAATTTTATCAGAAGACAGTAAAGAATTGAGGTTTTGCATTGATGCTCTGAACCTTTAGAGGTTCCTGGTTAAACAGCAAAAACACTAAATCTTACCAGGTATTTTCATCTTTTTTCATGTGCAAATATCTTAGTACTCTTGACATTAACTTACAAAGAGCTTTTCTGTAAGATAGAGGAGCTTATTTTGAGTCAATAGTTCCTTAATAACGATCAATAGTAGGTGGAATAATCAGCCTAATACGTTTTCACTGACTTTAAACAAGTTCCTGTTCCAGCTGAAAAGTTCATTGTAAGTTAGTTTTTTGTGTGCCGAGATGTTTGCGGTAGAAACTGATTGCTAAGGTTTAGTGTTTTGTGCTTCCTGTGAGTCGGACGGCGAAACCAATCAGGCGACAGTGGCAACAGAGACCAACGGGTGGTGCTGTCCACACGAGGGGCTGAAAATCCCCCACTAATTTAGCATGAAGTCATGTTTACTGCTGATGTCATCCGGCAAATGTCGTTCCTCCGGGGATCAACATGAACCCCGAGCTGCAGCCCTGACACCCGCCATGACGAGAAAATAGGAAAAATTCACGGCAATAATTTCTGTGTTAAACTATTGTCACTTCTTTCATGTTGACTTGATCGCATCCGACGGTTCTAAAGAGACCAGCCGGAATTATTTGTTGACTTTGTCGTCAGAGATTATTCACTACAAATGAACTGAAAAGTTTATGGGACAAGATGATTTGAGCTTGTTATTAATTTTACCCTGAAATGTTTTTCTTTGGTTGTTGTTGTGTTTAAAGCTGCACAAGCCAATAACTTGTGCTGGAAATAGAGGGGATGTTACAGAAACAGAATGATGTTTTAGAAGAAAATCATTTTTTGAACATACATTTTGGAAAATGTCAAATAAAAGCTGTTTTTTTTTGTGGTTTTTTTACACTGCTTCATTTTTTTTTTTTAATCCAGAATTTCTACTGAAATACAAAACAAACTTCTATCAACTTCTGCCTGAAAATTTGTTGTTCTGGACAGATTTTTTATATTTTTTCAGCTGAACAACAAGTTGATTAGACTTACAGTTGAACAGGTATGGTGGGAAAATGTTGCATAATATTCTTACTGTTAGCAGATTGTATTAATAGGATTAGATTACTCTAGGAATGAGGTTTTCATTTAGCCTTTTATCTGCCCAGAACAGCACAAAGAATAAGAAAATGTGTCTTTGATTAGTTTTTCTTAAAAAATAAAATAAAATTTATAGCAAAATGTCATAGAATAGAATTTTCTTGATGGATTTCCAAGGGGAAATATTTATTTATTTATTGACAAGTTACTCCATCTAAAGTGTCAATATTAAGGAATTATTGACTAATGAAGCTACTGAGATGTTTGCACTAGAAACCATCACATAAGTGTGACATTGTAAGTAATTTAAATATGACAAAACATAAAATAAATAAAATAACGAGTATGCACATGGAAATATGTGTATCTAGAAATAAATCTCTACATGAGTCCAGAGTAAAAAGACTTAAAAGACGCTGAAACCAGTTTGTTTTCCTTTAAGCAGAAACACCTGTACAGAAAAGCCATGAACAGAGTGAAGCTGCATTAGGTATTTAATGCAGCCTCAATATTATTATCTGGTAATAATATTGAGGCAACATTCAGAGTATTTACCAGAGAACTCAAACTGATGGTTGCCAAAACTCCAAGAGGCTGTTGAGAGAATCAATAAGAGTGTTAGTCCTGAGGACGGGGCGGCTGTACCGCTGAGGAATTTTGACCTTTTCTTGGAAACAAGTTTGCAGATAAAACCATGAATTCCCCTTCGTTTCCCTTAATGGCTCGATGTTTTGAACAACGCAGATTTGTTTCACTTAGGAAATTGTTTTCAGTCCATCTGACTTTTGTTGAAAGCCCTGAACTCTGCAGCATGTGTGTGTGTGGGTGTGTGTGTGTGTGTGTGTGTGTGTGTGTGTGTGTGTGTGTGTGTGTGGGGGTGTGTGTGTGTGTGTGTGTGTGTGTGTGTGTGTGTGTGTGTGTGTTCTTTGTTGCTTGCCGAGGGCTGTGTCAGTTACATCACTGCAGCGTTCGTAAGGGAATTTTGGGGGATGTTGGGCTTCTTTTTTGTGTCTGTCGCAATAAATCCATTACTGTTTACATGCGTCCTGCCAGAAACGACAACATTAGTCATTTGCAGTGACGGCTGAAAACAACTCTGCTCGGCGCTGAAGCCGAAGGTAGCGTGAGTGTGTCGTTTCGGGGTGGAGCAGGAATAAACGCTGCGGCCCGCAAATGCGCCACTGCAGAAGACGTGAGTTTGGGTCGAACACTCGAGCTGGATTTTAGACGTCACGTCTGGATTTGCTAAATTCTCACAGTCGCTAAAAACCTCCGACTACTTTCTGCACAAAATTGTGCAGTGGAACAAAAACGTACACATTCTTTTCCATCATTTTACGCAATTAAAATCTGAAAAGTGTGGCATGCATGGAGCTCTGATGCAGTGTTGCACTCAAGACCAAGACGCAGCAGCGCTACACGGCACAATGAAATGTGAAATATGATCAAAATTGCTAATCAAATTGATGTGAAAGACTCACATTCCCATAAAAACAGAGATAATGGGGGAGGAGGGCTGAAGAGAAGAATATTCTAATATTTGAAGCCAATAAAATATTTCATCTGAAAATGGAAAAAGTGTTCATTTGCATCTCTTTAGGTAAAGCCAAAACTTAAAGGCAAAGTTTACATAGCATCACCTTCTTAAAATAATGACCTTAGTCATTTTTTATTATTATTTAAGCAAAAAATAAAATAGCACTTTTGCCATTATTTCAGGAAACTGATGTTTCAAAAATACTGAAGGAGCTTGAAGATATTTTAGTGAGGTGGTGAGTTCTGCACACCAGAACTCAAGCGTTTGAGTTGGTGGGCTGACCGGTCCAGAACCCGGTCAGCCCACCACTGTCATTTCTTCGAGATGCCAGGGATGATCGACCCTTTACTGACCCTTTTATTTAGGGGTAACGTTGGCTACGTTCACACAGCAAGTCTTTACGTCGTTCATGCTACTAATTCAACTGGACCACAATGAGGCTTCTGTGTGAACGCTTTACGACCCCGAGGCGACCCGCGGAGTCAGAAGAACATTGACGCCACGCAGCAGCGCGTTTTTAACGGTAGGAGCCGTTTATGGACGGATCTTAAAGTTTACTCAGGAGTGGGACCCAACAGGATCTCCACAACATCACAAGACAAAGGAAGCTAATAAAACAAAAGCACAACTTTCGTTTTATTAGCACTGCCTTCAAATGCTCCACTGAAGGCCGTGGCCTTTAACTTCTGCACTCTAAACTTTGACAAGTTGACTTTACTTAAAAAAAATCTTGGAAACCCTTGAAAAATGTAAGTGGGTTTAACTGCTATTGTGTTTTGTTCACTTAATATGTACTTGTTCAGTGTAAGACCTTGTTGTATGAGCTTAATTGTGTTAAGTTAATTTAACTTAGTTAAGAGAAGTTGTTTCAACTTAGAAATAGCAAGTAAATTACCCTCCACTTAACTACATCAAGTTAGTCCAACACAGTTTACTTAGCAGAATGTAGGCCTTAAACAAATTAAGTAACCACAACAGAAGATTTTAAGTTCACAAGATTCAATATTTTATTTTAACAAAATGATATACTTAGCACAACATAACAGTCAATAACCCCACAGAACCAGGAACCAATCCTGGTTCAATCATAAGAAAAGTACAAATTAACAAAAGAATGAGGTGAAGTTTTGAATTTTTTTTTTTTTTTACCCAACCTCTGACAAACAGAATAGAAATTCATACCAGAGACGTTGTAAAAGTCTTTCATCGTCCTTGAGGAAAACTGAGAGACATTGCAGGACAGCAGTCCCCATGGCAACATCATCTTTAGTCTACAAGTAAGAAAAACAATGAAAGTAAACACAAGCATATTTTGAAGAAACTGAATAACTTTTTTTTTTTTTACCATAAATGGCATAAAATAATTTTTCACCCTTATTTATTGTCTGACTAAGACTGATTAGAATGTTGTAGGGTAAGAGTTAGGGAAAAGGGTAAATTAAGATTCTTAAGTAAGAATAGGTATTGGATTTCAGAATGTGTAGAGAGGTTTGTCTGGATGTGTAGTCAGAGCTCAGACTTCACTGACTCAAACTTCTTTTGTAACTTTTAGAATTATAAATCTCAGTCGTTGTTTTTCATCCTTTTTTACGACGTCTTTCTTCTTGCAGCATAGAATTGTGACCCGCGTTCCACATCGATGACGTAAAAGTCACACAAAATGCAACATGACTGTTCAGACTGCAGACGCTTTGAAAAGGATCAGATCCGAATCCGAATTAGCGCCACATCTGGAAGTGGCACAGATCTAATTTATTTTGGGGGAGAGAGGGTGAAAAGCTCAGAACTGGGCCGTTCAGATGGATGTTGGGTCGCCGTTGTTTTCCTCCGAGGTGTCATGGTTTGTCCAACACACATTAACCCCCTGAGATCAGGCCAGACTTATACTATTGGACAGAAGAGCCCAGAGACAGAAAGATGGAGGTTTTATCAGCAGTGGTTATGCTGTAAAACAGAACTGGACTCGTTTCATCCTTTAGAAAAAAAAAACATCCGACTCCCATCTCATGCATAAAACACATATGGTCTATTTTGACCCTCCTGAGTTCCACTCCATGCCTCCTTTACTTCCACAAAGCCTGTTTGATTTTTAAAACCTGTGGGATTTTTCCAGCTTGAATTATTTACTTGCTTTATGGAAAGGCTCAGCAGGGCTGGTCTTTCCTGGTTTACGAGGAATGGTTTCGTTTGCAAGACTTCTCCTCCTGGTAGCAACAGAAAGCGTATTGGACAACTTGTCATTTTCATCGTACCTTAGCAAAAGTTCGACAACAAATTATGTCAGAAAATCTCATGACCAACAGGAAGTTGGAGTGCAGCAGCGATGCCAGGGCGCTCTCCGACACGATCAAAGGATAAGCAGGGCTGTCGAAACAAGGAAGGAGCTGACACCACAGAATGAGGAACTCAGGAGAAATAAAAAGAATTAGCATTACAGAAACCAAAACCAGTAAATAGGAGAGATGTTAGCAGCTTTAGGTATGTGATTGCATCAGCAGGAAGCTGACAGACAGACAGCAGCCACGGTGCGGGGATCAGTTGTCCTCAAAGGTCATCAGTTTTAAACACACCTGAATTAAAAACTCATTTGTCGATTGTTTGTCCAATAACGGTGCAACGTTGAGTTTCACTTCCCACATATCTCTGCTTCGACAAACAAATAACAGGATGACAACAGCATCTTTTTTTTTTTACATATCTGACAAAAGGCATTATTAAGAAGCACATAGCTCAGTGGTGATGGGGTGGGGAGAACTGTCAGAGCTTTTCCTGATGAATGTGGCACACTGTGTTTCACCCACATCACATCCTGAAAACGGAGTGCTGAAATGTTTTTGGCACCGCTACTAGGAAGAAGCAGCGACGTTGAATTCTTTTGACCCGGGCATCCCATGATGGAATGTCAGCATTCGAGCAGCAGCTCATTGTGTTGTGATATGATTATTGCAGATCTGGAACGTTCGTGTAAAAGCACGTTTGTGTTTGTTTGTCAGGGTCTGTGCGCAAGCAGGGGCGTAAAACCCCATTGGGGGGGACCATAAACAGAAAGATTTCTTAAAAGCAATTTTTTGGGAGGTGTGGAGATGTGGGAGGTTGTTGGTGAGGTTCCATTGAAATGTAACAGCCTGAAAAAAAAGAAGTAAAACTAAACTTCAAATGTTGCTTCGATTCGGGTTTTTTTCAGTCTGACTGATCTAATCTCTGCTACACGTTAGAGACGTTCACCTCATGACTTTTTCACAGGTCAGGAATTGAACTTCTGCACTTTTGT